GGGAGGAGAATGACAGAACAGGAGAACAGTTGTCCTCCTTTGGCTTTGTTGGCATGTCCCGGTGCGTGTACACACACACACACACACACACACACACACACACACACACACACACCAGTTTTATGGCAGCAAACTGGATAGAACTCATAGACATACTACAGAGTAAAAAGAAACCAAATGTTTCTAGCTTAAGCAGAGGTCAAAAATGAGTATGAAGGAAGTTTCAAAAATAATAGAAACATAGGAATGGCAGGTTTGTTGATTTGGGTGACAGTTGTGTGGGCATATATATTTTTTCAAAACTCACTGAACTACATATTTAAGATCTTTATATTTTGATGACTGCAAAATATAACTCAATTCTTTGAAAGAAAATGAACCTAGAGTGAATGTTTTGGAAGAGGGAAGAAAAAGTTAAGCAGAAGCAAATCTGTTATTACAGGGTTTCCCGCAGCCTTTAAAATGCTAAAGAGGAGGCAATAAAAATGCAATATGTCCCAGATTTATTTACTCACAGAACTTTTTTCCTTACATATTTTAACATCTATAAAGCATTAATATTTCAGGAACCAAATGCCTTTAGCATGGGGAAAAAGTTCAGCAAGGGCTCTCAATGCTACTCCAGCTACATTTTAAAGCAATTTTAAACAATAATATTTCTGTAGACCTGTGTAATATAAACTAGTTATAAAAGGCACCCCATAATGTAAGGCCCAATCATTGTAGAATTCTGACTCAAATAATAAATTGATTTGAATTGTTGACTTCAAACTCCTCTGACAATAACAAGGCAGCCACTGTCCATGGGTAACTGGAAGTTGGAAGTAAGTATGGAGGTTTCTCAGAAAATTGGGAAGCAGTCTACCTCAAGATCCACCACAACCACTCTTGGGCATATACCCAAAGGATGCTCAATCATACTACAAGTACACTTACTATGTTCGTAGCAGCATTATTCATAATAACCAGAACCTGAAAACAACCTAGATGCCCCTCAATCAAACAATGGATAAAGAAAATGTGATTCATTTACACAACGGAGTATTACTCAGCTGTAAAAAGACAATGACATCTTGAAATGTGCAGGCAAATGTATGGAACTAGAAAAAAAAATCATTCTGAGTGAGGTAACTCAGACCCAGAAAGACAAACATGGTATGTACTCAATCATATGTGGCTATTAGATGTAAAGCAAAGAATAACCAGACCACAATCCACAGCTCCAGAGAAGCTAGGTAACAAGGAGGACCCTAAGAGGGACACATGGATTATCCTGGGAAGGAGAAAAACTTGAGATGTCCTGGGTAAACGGAGGGGGGAGATGGGGGGTGTTGAAGAGGAAGGATGGGAAGGAGAACATGAAGGCACTTGATGGTCCAGTTGGGGGAAAGGATGGGGTGGGAGAGCAAGGAAAGAGAGATTTCCACAGAGGGAGCCTTTATGGGGCTCAGGAGAAACCTGGTGCTAGGAAATACCAGGGATCCACAGTATGATGCCAGCTAAGAACTCCAGCAATAGTGGAGAGGGCACCTAAACTAGCCTTCCCCTGTAATCAGACTGGTAACTACTTTAACTGTCATCACAGAACTTTCATCCAGTAACTGATGGAAGCAGATGCAGAGATCCATATGCAAGCACCAGGCTAAGCTACTGGAGTCCAGTCAAAAAGAGGGAGGAGTGATTATATGAACAAGGGGCAGAGGTCAAGATCACTATGGAAAGCCCACAGAGACAGTTGGCTCAAACTTTCTGGAGCTTGTGGACTCTAGACCAATAGCTAAGGAGCCTAAATGGCACCAAAGCAGGCCCTCTGCATGTAGGCAACAGTTTTGTAGCCTGGTTTGTTTGTGGGACCTCCTGCAGTGGGACCAGGATCTGTTTCTAGTGCATGGGCTGGCTTTTTGAAACCCATTCCATATGATGGGATACCTCAACCAGCCTGGGGGGGGGGGGGGGACTTCATGTGCCAGGCTTTGTTGACTCCCCATGGGAGGCCTTACCCTTTCCAAGGAGTGGATGGAGGTGGGGTAGGGGGAGGGAGTGGAGGGGGAAGGAGGGGAACTGTGATTGGCATGTAAAATAAATTTTAAAAATAAAATAAAATATTTTTTAAAAGAAAATGAACCAGTCATTAAAAATCTCTGATCTACAGTGGGGAAAAGAAAACAAAAAACAAAAACAAAACAAAACAAACAAACAAAAAACAACAAAGAAGCATTCACTAACTTAAGCAACAATTCTTTTTCTGCTCCCTATAGGACAGCCCATCCATGGGTGTAAAAAGCATTAAAACACAGTTGAGAAAGTTACATCTTAGGCCAAGTTCCCAGGAAGCCAAATCAGGCAGGCTTATGTAGGAAGGTTCGCTAAGAGGACTGGCAGATCAGCACCCATAGAGGAGCAGTTGAGGAGGGGGAGAGTGTGGGGACAGGACACAGACACAGATGACAGGCCTTGTTGGTGGTAGGGATTATGACTCATACAATGAAGGCCTCAGTACATGTGAGAACCCCCTTACAGGAGGCCGCTGACAGCTGTCCAACCTTTGGGCAAAGGCGACCCCAGTGTCACTACTGTTACCACATGGGAACTGCCCCCAGGGAAATAGTATGTTCACATAGTAGGGCTGAGGGTAATAGCTGAAAGCCATCTGCCAATACTTCTCTCAGTAGGGAGACTAAACACTACAGTCCTGCAGAGGGTGCTGGGCTGCACTTTTCAGTGTCCACCACAGCTGCCAACACACTGCAAACTCAAAAAGACTGTTGGACTTAGAATAGTTAGGGCTGAATATAGACAAAACATGTTGTATTTATACATATATTTAAATGTCATAATAAAGTCCCATTATTATGTCTAATATATAGGAATACAAATGTCATCCTACCCAATTCTGACTCACATTCTATTATCAGTAGTCAACAACATAGATAGATTGTGTCTATATTGCTTTGTTCACAAAACTGTGCAAAAATTGCAAATAATCCTTTCTTTAAATATTTTATTTTTCCCAGGCTGGACTTGAACCTGCTCCCTACTCCCCAAAGCCCCTAAGAAGGTAAGATTACAGGCCTGTGCCACCAAGTCTTCAAAAAACATTAGACAGCACTAACACTTTATTCCATGTGTATTTAAAAGGAAAAATCATGCACTCAACCATGAACAAGATGCCCACACCTCTTGCCTTTATGTGGCTTGAACTCAATGTGATTAGCATTCAAATGAAAGACTGCAGAGAATGTGCAAGTCTTTGCCTCCAATGGGGAAGGGAAATTCACAGAAAGCTCCCTAAAAGGAAATCCAATAACAGCAATAAGACTAAAAACACGTGGGCTTATAAAATGCTAGGCAAATCTATAAACTTGCTTAGCTCTCAGGTTAACACTCTCAAGACAATGTATGGCTAATCCTATTCCTTTTCATTCAGATGAGTATAGAGATAAAAGAGCTTAATCAAGGTCACAGAGGTGACAAGTGGCAAGCTTGGGAGTCGCACCTTGGAAATTCCCAAGATGGATTCAGAAAGAGAGGCAGTGAAAGCATTCCAGTCTCGAGGAGCTACAAACACAAACATGAATGTGTCAGCAGCATGAAGGTTCAGACTGGAGCCAGCCTGACCATGGAAACGCTGTGAGTCTAGGACTGAAAGTAGGGGACTCCCAGAGAATGAGCAAACTAAAAAAGGAGCTGTGTTCCCCTCAAAGAAGCGAAAAGGAATGTAGGCAAAAGGATGATAATAATTTTTTTCCTGCAATCAATAATAATTTTAATAGGAATAAAAATGACTAGCGTACAGTGTAGAACATGCTACTAGCCAGACATGGGCTAAACATGCATGCATGTCATATATGCCTCACTGCAACCCAGTGAGGAAGCTAACATCACCCTGGTTGACAATGGAGGACACAGGGGCTCTCAGGACAGGGGAATTGTATGAGTTACAAAAGCTGGGGTTCGGAACCAAGGGCCTGTGACTCCCTTGCCTACTCTCCACAGTCCCGCCCTCACAGACCTCGATTTGGATGCAGAAGACCAGCAGTCTAGTGACAGGCAGGCAATCTGGGGAATAATGTGTCCACCCAGGAATAACAGAAGGGCTCCTCACTGTGGCTGAACAGAGAAGACCTGAGGAATGTGTTTGAGGTGGTTGGGAAAGCTGGAGTCTCGAGGGACGGGCAGGGAGATGGAAGCGAGGACTGGGTGGACCATAATTATGATGATTCCATGAACCACGGGGAGGTGAGGCAAGAGGCCCTAAGAGAGAGGCTCAGAATGGACAGTGACAAGGTGACCTGGGTCACAGATGCTTAGCTGTGGTACTGCAACGAAGATTGGGTGATTGGCAACACATTGAAGGCCTGGGAGTGGCTGAGTGGGAAGGGCAAAGGAGTGTGGTAGACAGAACCCCCAGAAAGCCCCTCACGCTGGGGGAATAATCCGCTTCTTAGCTGGAGAGGTAATGATCTACATCGGCCTTCCTTAGGAACCACGTGAGAGAGGGCCATATAGTGTCACTTCTGGATAAAAATAAATAAATAAAAGTAAAATAAAACGCTTCATTTTCTAACATGAAGGTTTCAATTACTTCCTGGTGACATTTTTCAGATGAAGAAAAATAAGCTGGTTAAGTGGTGCGTACACATAACGATGGCGTGTGTGCTGAAATATGTTTAACTAACTCAACATTGTACTAATGGTTTATCAGTTGTCTCCCCAGACTTCCGGGCTCCTCCAAACTCATGTTGCCAATGTCAGCCATCCCTCCTACACACAGCACCACTGGCTTGGACAGAAGTCCTGGCAGGTTCCACATCCCAGGTCTCTCCTCACTCTTCACCCCTCTGCCTGAAATATCACTGCCATGTAGCCCACCTGATCAGGAATCTATCCACTGGGCTGTGTCTTCAGTCTCTCTCTCTCTCTCTCTCTCTCTCTCTCTCTCTCTCTCTCTCTGTGTGTGTGTGTGTGTGTGTGCAAAAGTTCTCAATGTGAACCTGTAGCAGAAAGAAGAATGGGGGAGGGGGACTGGTCCGCCCTTCCTGGCTGTCGCCACCTTGCAGGTTTTGACACAGTGACAGAGGGAGATCTGAGAAAGGAGACAGACTGGAGGGAGCTACTTGTTCTCCTGGAAACCCGGGAGCCACTTGGTGCAGACAGCCCTTCCTACTTTCCCTGCGGCTCTTTTGTGTGACTTTGAGAGGGGCTCCCGGCGACTGATTGCTACTGAGCGCCTGCTGAGGCGAGCAGCTGGGCTCCGGAAGGGAGGACCCGAGCAGAGTAAGTGGCCAGAGGCAGCCAGCACAGACCTCAACTGATGGAACTGGCATGCAGTTTTTGAAGTCAGCAGAAACAGAAATCAAATTACTATCATTTTATGCTGCTGGAAGCTCAAGGAAAGGGGATTCCACACCAGCTCAGTCACCACCGTGCGACAGGCGAGTCACAGGATAGCGGACCCTGGCGACAATGAATGTAAGTTCTTAGGCTGCTGTCTTTTACTGCTGTGGGATTTTCTTTCTGGTTGAAGTCACGCTTGGCCACGATGCCGTCATTGCCATGAGAATTTCTGGAGTGGAAAGTTCTCTGCTGCTCTTCGGGATGCGTTTTTCTTTCACTAACCAAGCCACAGACATGAGCTGCAATTCCTGATCGCCGCTGCGGCGATTCTGCCTGAGACTAAGAAGCATACCCAGTTACTATGGGATTAGCACTGCATGGGTTTTTAACGGACTTCCTTAGCACAGAGGGCACACAGCCTTCCCTACGGATTTCGGATGCTGTTTTAACTTTGTGATGGCTGAACTCGTGAAATCCGCACATTTATCCCGAGAATTGGCTGAAACAGATTCCCAGCGGTTCCAAAACTTTTCTTCCTTAACCAGGAGCACGATTGTGTCCCCAAATGCTCAAAGGGGCTTTTTGTTGTCTTTGCTTCATTGAGAAGTTACAGCTGGACCTCGGACTCTTCCTAGCACTGTGAAGGGAGGCAGTATCAAGAGGCGTCACACTTCTGTAACTCTTACTATGGGAGAGGAAAAGGCAGCCAGAGGAGCCACACATGGTCTCCGCTTCAACACGTCCTAGCACCGGGACATGAAGATGAATGGTGAGCCAAGGCTATGACTTGCTAGTCTTTCCACACTTGATCCGCTACAACTTCCGGCTTAGACATGGAAATTCTTTGTGAAGACAATACTTCTCTGAGCTCAATTCCAAACTCTTTAATGCAAGTAGATGGTGACTCCGGGCTCTACCGTAACGACTTCAACTCCAGAGATGCTAACAGCTCTGATGCATCAAACTGGACAATTGATGGCGAAAACCGGACCAACCTTTCCTTCGAAGGGTACCTCCCACCGACATGCCTCTCCATTCTTCATCTCCAGGAAAAAAACTGGTCTGCTTTATTGACAGCTGTAGTGATTATCCTAACCATTGCTGGAAACATACTGGTCATCATGGCAGTGTCCCTAGAGAAAAAGCTACAGAATGCCACCAACTATTTCCTGATGTCACTTGCCATAGCTGATATGCTGCTGGGCTTCCTTGTCATGCCTGTGTCCATGTTAACCATCTTGTATGGTGAGTGGTGTTAGCATGTTAGCTGCCCCCAGTGTAGTCGCAAAGAGCATGTGCATGGGGACGGGGCTCAGGAAAGAAATAGACCAGAAGCTTTTAATCTTAAAATTGTGTTTTACTTGAGAGACAGCCTGGTACCTAAAATTGGAATACCGATAATAATTTATTGGTATTCCAAAACTCCATGAGCGTAATTTAACTTTCATTCTGTGTCCATGTGATTTTTGCTTTTCTTTGCCAGCCTCGGGACAGAATGGCTTTATCTTTGTCACACAGTCCTCAGCACTTCTAATGGAGTGGTAAAACCTTCCCAATTACCTTGGAACATTTGCAGAGAGAGCATTAGTGCTGGAGTGGGTTTAATGTTAAAATATTCAGAGTCTCCATTAGAATAAATGAATTACTTTGGTTTTAATTGCCCCCCCTTGCCCAGAAAAGCCAATATGGGAGAAAGCCTTTGAGTTATACCCTCGAGTCTTTAAAAATGTATACACAGAAAGTCCTCCTGTCTGGTTTTGGGGGATGGTGGGAAACAAATGGAAAGCTATTAATCTTGCTCTCTTCTCAACCCAGTTTGACAGTGTCAAACTTCTCAGGAAGTCTGCAAACACTGGGACAGCTTTCATGGGGGAGCAGAACGCGATATTCTTTCAAATTATGAGTAATCCAGCCAGAGTCCTCCTAACAAAGAGCAAAGGAAATACTATTAAGACTTTTGGCACATGTACTCACGAGTCACCGGAGCTACAGGCAGTTTTAGAGATACCTTTAAAGGGTTTTCTGGCCAAGTCCTAGAGGTTACAATATGAACCTAGCCCTGAAAAGCTTCAAGGAGGAAGGAGACCAGTCAGCAATAGCCAGTATCCATTTGTAAAGACCAGCCCTGGCTTGACCATCCAAATGACTCACCGGAATAATTCCATTACATTTGCTTATCGTTTCTCTGCCACTGAGGAGGGGCTTTCACTTCCCAAAACCCTAGCCATCCCTGGGAGCAAACTCTACTGCGGGTGGGAGGGGTGACTCTGCAGGAACCCAAACCATAGCAGGAGGGCGGGGTGAGCTGTTGAGCAGCAGGGGCAGCCCTGGCCACGTAGCAAGTGCAGCAGGTCCCTTGGTCTCGGCTCAAGGCTGCCCCCTAGTGACAACTTCTGGGTGGGCAGCCTGCACCCACCCAGAGTCTGCTAGACACTACCGGTCCTGCGCCTTCCCCAGAGGACAAGTCACAAATCCGTCTTGCACAAGTATTCTCTTCTTACATCTTGGAGAATACTTTGAGGGGAGAAGGGCCTGCTTTCTTTCAGGGAA